CCCCCCCCCCCCCCTGTATGATATAACATAATATAGGTAAAGAAATAAGATGATCAGAAGTAGAACGGAAGCCGCGCATTCTATAGTTCAATAAAGGTAGTCATCGAAGTATTCTTCGTAATAGACCGTTGCGATCGTAAAAGGCGCAAGATCTGTGACGATCGGCGGAGGTTAGCCTTCTTGCGAGCGGTCCGACGTTCTTCTCGCAACATCCTAACGACTTTCCGAGCAACAAGAAGCAGACTGCGCCGAGTAAAATCACGCGTACGCGCTCCGGGAAGCCTCGGCATTGTTTTAGAAGAAAATACGCTGGCGAAGTCACGGTGATTAGACGCCGCGAGGTGTGGAGGATCGGGGATCGATGGATTCCTGGAAAGAGCGAGCGTAGGTGTAAAAATGCCTCGGTGGGCAATCGTCACGGTCGGTTCGCCACATTCTGTCCGGCCGGACATCCCGCGGCGAGAGAGGTGATGGCTCCTCCACGCAAACATGCATAAGCATGCATACGCTCGTGTGATAAACGTATGAAGCGTGGTAGCACCACGCTTGTGGTGGTATTCCGTCGGCATCAGAAGCAGGAGGAACCGTGGATTGCGTCGCTCGCCGTTTCCTCCCGCAGCGTTCGGAACAGCGCGCTCGTCGTGGGAGCGGCGACGAATTCCGCACGCAATTATCCTGACATGCGACATTTGTTAGGGTCCCGTCGCCCCGGTTGGAGTCCCGGTCTCGACGGGGCGACGAAGGATAACAGAGTCTCGGAACGGAGAACGCGGGTTCATTCGAGCGCCTCTTGTCGCGCCCGCGCCGCCGAGTTACGAAGCCACGTTCCTAGAGTTCCTCGAGGTTTTCGTTCGGTCGATACTCTTTACTTTTACGACACGAGAAGCGACGGCGGTGCGATGTCTCACGACATCGGACGGCACGGACGACAACGCGCCCATCCGCGAGATCCGAATTGCCGTCGCGTCCACTTCGAAATGAGAATTGGATGCGGATGTAATCGCGGAACGAAGTTTGCTTTCCAGAAGCAACTCTGATGTAAATCCAATCTACGACGTGTACTGTAAGGATAAGAATTGGCGCAATTGGCGACGGAGTAAAGCCGGTGACCATCGGCTTCGCCGTCGCGAAATGATATACAATATCGCTGATTACGCTCGCGTCGATTGAATTTAATTACGGAAATATACATCGGCGCTTGCGACTCGCGTCGTCGCAAGGAAGAAATACGGCGATAGAAATGCTATAGAAACGAAGGAGATCTAAGTGTGCCGTCGTCGCCACTCGATCGATGAATAATAAAACGGCCGAATGCCGAAGCGGTCGGGATGCCGACGACTTGTCGTGCCCCCCTCCCCCGTTCTCAATGCGACGTTGATAAATAATTATTGGAGTATAGACGTTAGGCATTTACAAGGCAGGTGCGCGTTCGAGAGGAGACGGTATTTCGCGACACCTGGTGCTGATTAACGAACGAAATCGTCGGCGCGAGCGAACGCGCAGCGACTTAAGCGGCCGGCTAAATTGCCGCGTTATTCCTGTAAACCGCGGGGCTATCCCTCCCCCCCTCCCCCCCACGACTGTCCAATTACCGGACGAGGTGGCAAAGTCGTCTCTCGTTCGGGGGGGGGGCGGGGAGGGGATACACGCGTTCCGCGCGCGCTCGCAGCGACTTGGAATCGTGGCTTCTTTTCAGCCGGCGACGGCACCGTTAAGGACGGATAATGAGACGAGTCGGCCGTCTCGCGGCCGAAGAAAGAGAGAAACTCTCCGCGCGCGGACTACAGCGCGTAGCGCGGTAGCGCAATTTCATATACAAAACCCAAGATGAACCCCGATGCGATGACCCCCGGACCCTCCATTAGATTTATACAGTGGCAAAATATTGCACGTGATTCCAAGATACACCGGGATGTTGCACAGGCCGAGGCGAGAAGCACAGTTCCGCGGTCTATTATCTCTTCGCAACCGCAAACGTTTCGTTGTCATTAATATTACTTATATCACATTCATCGCGATGATAAATGCTCGGATAGAAATTATAAGGTACTATATCGATCGAGGAGTCGCGTGCGGATCATCGACACATCGCCGATAATCGATGGACTCGCTGATTTTTTTTCTTAATTATGCGTGCGTCCGGGATGTTATGAGTGTTAAAACGAGTGTATTAATTAAAGCGCTTTCAATGGGAGTGGTGCACGTCGGTTACGTGACACAATATTTACTCCGCCGGTGGTACTTACGTGCTACCAGTATCGCAATGCACGCACGACGACGATGCTAATTATGCGGGAAATGTAAAAAAGGATACCGCGCGCCCGAGGAATATGAAACGAGCGACGAAGAGCAAGAAACGAGGCTATTCGATGATCAAACGTCGGCAGTTCGCATAATTTACCGCGCGAGGCTTCTTACGTTTTCTTATTACGATCGAATTATATACATATTCTTCTAAATTATTATCTTGAATTTATTTTCCAACTCTTTCGATGCTAATACTATCAATATATCTTGTAATTATTAATATAACTGAATTATATAATGTGAGAATTAGTTAATTATTACGATCTCATGTCGGCTAAATGAAAAGAAATTGCGGAAGAAATAAAAATAAAAATAAACGTGTTCTCGCGCATACTAAAATCTACTTTTCTTACGTTAATATCAATCTTTCTAAATTCGAATTTATGCTACAAATTATCTCCATAACGTCATGTTCGATTGTGATTTGAATAAAATTTTGGCATTATCGAGGGAGATCTTCCACTTTTTGAACAATCCGAATTTAGATTCCATGACTTCTTCTTAGCAACGCGTGTCAAACAAAATAGCGTATCAATAACAACAGTTCAGTTATCTCCGGACAGGCCATTGACGAGCAACACGTTCCATCCTCTCTTACCAAAATCATATTCGGCACCTCAATATAACCGATTTTTATCGGTTATTAAATCTTCTTAGTGATTACTTTAACACACTGGCTTAAATGTGCCGTTTCCAAGTGTACACGTTCACCGAGTCCAAGTTATCTTAACGTCATTGAACATTTCGGAAAGTCGTAAAGGAACCGCCGCGACTATCTTCAGAAATCATCCTGCGCCAAATGATAAGCCGATCGCTGAAATTAACGTCGACGACGATCTTCGTGCGACCTTCGACCTGTCCGAGCTCTTCGAATGTGGCCCCTAAAATTCTGACGAGATCCACTCATGAGACAACACGTAACGGCATCTTGGAATATCTTCGAAGGATAGAAGAGGCGAAGAAGGGTGAAATATGACGAAGCCAAAGATGTCGGCCCTGGTGGCCTCTGCTATACGCAATCTGCGGGAAATTCGGGGTTCGACGTCGAAGGAAATCATGAATTATATTAAATCCCAATATACGGGATCGGACTCCAACATACAAAAACAGGTAATTTCGTATATTATTTTTATGATATTTCTATCAATATATTAATTTCTTATTCTCACCACAGAAGTAATTAATATATAACGATAATTGATTTTAATACAATTAATATTTCAATTTTGAATTTTTTATTTTCCGAAATTTTTCAAAAGATATCGTAAAATTTTTCGATTCCGTTGCGTCGTACTATTAAAGTACTGAAAGTTCTAGGTTAACGAACGCAGTAGAAAGCGTATGTTAATCATACAAGAAACGTTCGGTAATCATACGAGAAACGCTTTTTTTCCACAGATATTCGCTGCCTTGAAACGTGGCTTGGACTACGGTATTCTAAAGAGGGACCGTGGTTATTACAGCCTGAATACGGATCCTGACATGATGTACAAAGCGCATACCGTGCCGCCTATGGAGCAAGGCAGACCGAGGCGGGACGGGAGAAGGAGGCAACGACGTAACCGTAACCATAAAAGAAGACCAAGTCGCCGAGGCAGGAGGCGGAGGAGGGGCGTAGCCAGACGCAGGGCCAGGGCAAGGAGGAGAGGAAGGAGAAGCAGAAGCTCAAGTAGAAGAAGAAGAAGAAACAGCTTCCCGATCCGATCGAGGTCCCTCGCAACAGCCAGGTGCAAGTGCGAGACGTCCAGGAAGCGCACGGAAGGCACCGCGAGAAATTCCCCGGTGGAGGACCTCCGAAAGGACATGACTTATTTGTATAAGAAGGGTATCAGCGACCAGACGCCGTCCAGACATCAGAGTCGTAGTCGGGATCGAAGTCAGACGCACAGCCGATCGAGTAGCAGCGACAAGGAGATGATTGACGACCAAAATCGCGATCAATCGTGAACATCTACACACGAAAAGTTACCGCGGATCTTAATCCTTCGCGTATATCGTCCACGTAAAATTGACAATTGAAGCTTTATATAAAATTGAAATTTTTTTTTACTAGGTGCATGAAAAAAAAAACGCGTATTATTATATTATTGTATATTATCTCGTACAATTCAATTTGGAATAGGAAGCAAGTTTTTGCCAACCTTTTAATCGGGACTGCAAAGGATTAACTGTCCGACGCGGTGGTTATCAATCAATGACGCAGGAATAACTCTGGCGAGTTTAGATTTTGTCTTATTTTGGTGATAAATTGCAGTGCTCCGATATGTAGGTCGACAGCGAACAATTTGTTTTGTAGTCTTCGACTTTTCACAAATTTTATATATGTTTCCTTTACACTGACTGATTATATAAACTGTTGAACCATCAACCCGTTGTCTTTTTTGTACTTATTTCTATTAATTCGATTATCTCTCATTCGCTACTATACAATTCTAGAATCGCGAACACCCAGCCAATTATTTCCAAACTTGAATCGAGAGACGGCGACCAGTCAGCTTTCTCTTTTTCGAAAAGCGAAATCACAAAGTTTCGTTGCATCGACGCGATTTTTAGGTGCAACAGATTTTTCACGTGGCTCGAGGATGTTCTGATGAAGATAGCACAAATAAAGCCGACTGCTATAACTCTTGTCGCGACGGGGTCAAGGCAGGTTAGAAAGGATCGAGAAGTGATTAGTAGCATTTACCGGTCTCGAGCGAGGAAGCGAAAGAGACACGGAGCGAGAGAGAAAGGCATCTGCCGATTCCCGGTACCGTTTAGATGTCCTGCGGTCACAATGCCGCCATCTAACTGCTCCCTATTCTCCGACAGGACTCTCCCCCGGAGGTCGTCGACGCGATGCTAATACCGGAATCTATCATGCGATACTAATGCGATTCTAACGGTGACTCTTTCTATCCTAAGATCCTTCTATAGCCGGAGAACCGTTCGCCGTTCTTCCGTTCATAAGCAAAACTCTCTACGGTGGTCCATCCGGAGTATTAATTTTGATATAAAAAGACATATTGAATCTAAAAATATTATCCGAAAATACTAATTGATTCATCTACGTTCCTAACGCGACGTCAACGTCCGACGTCGAATTTACACGCAATGATAATTTCGTACGAAAGCACAAAAAGAATATCTCGGAATAAAGTGTTAGTATTATTAATTAACAGAATAAAGCGTTATACAGTTATAACGTATCTTTTTGAGCCATAAAACTGCGTAAACAACGAGAATACGTTATTTTAGAAGATAATGTCGCGCGAAAAAATTCAAGTAATAATAAATTCATGGCAGTTTTTTTTTTTTTAGTAATCTTCTCATTTTGTCAAGAAATAACGAGATAGCACGGAGAATAGAAGTTACTCGCGGTCGTTGGCAGGCGTAACCATCGTGTCCCGAACAGAATTTCAAGCCGCTCGTCGCTGCGTGGTTCCACCTAAATGACGTGTCGGACGGACAGGAAGAGGTCCGGAGAGAAAACCTCGGCGATACCATCTTCTCTTTGCGCGCGATTGCTCCGCTGAAACTCCGGATGCCGAGGTGTCAGTGAGTTCTCACGTACACCGACCGGCCGAGATAGCGTCACCCCCCGGCATTACGCGGTGATATCATTAAGGTAGATTTATGCTACCACCGGCAGCAATGTCGACTCTCCCGAGCTAGATTAGGAGCTAAGCCCACAGAAGCTACGCGGACATCTCTGACTCGACTCATATCGTGACTCACATCGATGCAAGAAGTGTATCCGAATGTACATGCAACGTAGTGCTCGCCGAGCACTTAATGCTCTATTAGAAAAAAAAAAAAGGATAAAATCGATTACCACGAGTGGTTTTATCCCGGAAGACGGAAATAACTTAACCTTTTCGTAACGAAACAATCCTTCTTGCTCTATATTTTCTAAGATTATTCCTAATTCAAGTATGACGAGAAACTAAGTTTACTTCAGTTTGATATATATGTAAAGTTCATTTCAATATTTATTTCTTTATAATAAATTGAGATAAAGTTCGAAAAGTGATTTCAGCAATTTATTACTAAAATATAATTGAAAAAAAAATGCGTTTCACCGAAATTTTGCCAATTAACATGCAGAAATGCATTTTATATAATTACTATTAGCCAAATTTAGATAAATTAGAATTAAGTTTTGCAGATTTGTAGATGTAGAATCGCAAGATTAAATTTTCGTATTTATAATATGAAATATTATATTATAATTACATGTTTTAATTATTGACTTAGTTAACTTCATAAAGTTTTTGGACAAGGCGGTTATTTACGTAAGAGATTACAGCGTTTTGCGTTTTCTCGCGTCTAATAAGGAAAAATAAGGAAAAAGAAGAGTCTGAGGTAATACAAGAAGAAACTGAGAGGTACGAACGTGCTCAGGATCACTGCTCTAGTTCATGTCAACGCTCGAGGAATTTAATTGCACCGCTATCTCCACAGCTAATATATCCGGACCACACGAGAGAGAGAGAGATTTTAATTCGTGCGATTCGCAGCGTTGATAACTACCGGGTACTCAAATTAGGCTACATCGACGATGGAAACAGCAGGTGGCGATCCTGGCATCCAATTATAGTCCGAAGTGTTATTAACGATCGATCGCAATACAGCTCCCGTACTTAACTAGTGGGCAAGTATATGCCGCATCATCTACCAGCGCTCTCCTAATCGTCTGTCTTATATTGTGCGAGACGGTACTGTGGTACATTAAGCGATGAACGTATACGGATCTAATCACATAATTTCCACCGAGATTTCCACATCGATACTCGTCGTTTCTTATAACTTGAGGATGCTTAACAATTTCTTCAAATTCTCTCTTTAAAAATTATTCTGACGTTAAGATCAATCGATTCTTCATGCTAGAAATATGAAAGGCACTATATCAATTATCTTGTCTTCATTATATCGTAAATAAATTAAGAAATTCTATCTACGTATTTCCAACAACTAAATCTTCATCAGGACTTGTAATTTGTATTAATGCTCGCGTCGTGATTCCAGCACTGTGATTCTTACAGTGTTTAAAAATAATCGCTAAGAAAAATTTCTGATTGAAAACAGAATCATAGGATTCTGATCATATTAGTCAGAATTCTAACTATATCAACTAGAATTCTAATAAAATGAGTGAAGAAGTTCTAATTTTCTATTTAAAAAATTCATAATTGTCCATTTTCAACTAATGGAGCCAAATTCTTTTTCCAGCATAGACATTATCCTCGAGTAAAAGAGAAAAACCGAAAGTAGTAGGTTTATTACGGTTGTAATGAGGAGGACAGTCGGCGGCCGATCAACTGTGAAATGTAAGTGCGAATTATCACTGCTCCTCTCTGACACATAGTGGCAGATTTAGTGCCACCAGAGTGTTCTGCCAGATTTCTTTTCGCCGACATTTTGCCTCGCCCGATCGGCGTTCATTACCGCTCCGGAGTATAGCCGCTTAACTGTTTTGTCCTGACTGATGGATAGCGCATTCGCACATTATTACCGGACACTCGGCCAGTTTTATGAGCCTAGGTTGGCTCTTTTACCCCCGGCCAGCCTGCTCAGACCCAAGCGACGCTAATAGTGTGTTTACCGATAATGATCTCGATGGTACGATATAGTCGCGCGAGGAAAATATCGGGCACGTAAGTTCGACGTAATTTATGAGCGTCTCAAACTCGATCCCGCAAATCCGACCGGAAGTCGTAGGTGTAGTGGGCAACCCGGATTTTCGCTTTTCGATCCAGATCTGAAAAATCTGAGAGCGAGGGAATTGAACAAGACGACGCGACCACGATGGAAAATGGAATAGGTCAGCTCGTTTCAACTCGCGGTACGTCACCTCAGTCGACTAGTCGTCGTTAACGCGAGAGCGAGTTTATCGCTCGCTTTTATGTCGTATAATTATCCATTGTGAAATTCGTTCCTCGTCCATCATGTCGCACCTCTGCTAGAAAAATTCATAACCGGCAAAGCCGCAAGTTTTGAGTTCATTGGTGTCGTGAATATTTCCAATGATTGATATTTCGACTGGAAACGCGGATCTGAATATAATATTATTGCTGCGGGCTAGAAAGCGGTAGTATTACATTTTCATCGAGCCATTTGCGTAGTTTAAAGAATTCTTGTTTTCTTTTGATTGAAATTATTACATTAATTTTAACACCTGCGACACATGGGCAATATATCGCGAAATTTTAGAGTTATGTTTATCAATTATAGATTATAAAACCGTTCGCAATAAATAGAACGTTATAAAGATAGCACATTGATTATATTCTCATTCGAATTT